CTCCCCTAATTTAGTAGATAACTAAGATGCAGAAAGTACAGTAAATAAAAATGGGGGGGCTTGCTACTGAATTGTTTTGGTTTCAGAAAGCCCAGAAAGTGATTTTTAGTAGATGTAGAATCAGACTTGTGGGGAGGTTGAGACTTGGAGAATGTGTTAGAAACAGTACGAGTTTGAGCCGCACTTTTGTATTGACTGTTGTTCGCACTTTTGTATTGTGTCTCTAGCCTAGGAGGAAATTGACCACTAGGCAGACTGTGTGTGTGAAAGATGCTTTATTAGATGAGATTGGAAAACTTAGAAGAAACTGTAATACCAACATTAAGAATGTGATTATGAGGAATCTGCAGCTTTTAGGGCACGTGTGGCCCTCCGGATCCCCGAGTGCGGCCCCTCAACCGAATCCAAACTTCACAGAACAAGGCCGCACTCAAGGATCCAGGCCACATGTTGGCCCCAAGGCCCCAGGTTCTGGATTTTGGGGACAAAGCCACGCATATGGACTAACTCAGAAAGCATTCTTCCGCCATCTCTACAGCTCAGGCCTCTCCCAATTTACAATCCTCTAGGCATACCTGAAGATCTCTGAGCTGCTGTCCATTCCTCACAGTGCTGCTGTGAGGCTTAATAAGATAAGGTGTGTGGAAGTACCTACTACAATGCCTATAACAGGCTCTCAGTTTTTAGTTTCCCTTTGATTCCCCATAGCAACTTTTTGCTTTGTGTATTATGCTTTGCTTTTTATATAGCTCCTGCATTTGCCACAAAATGGTCAGCTTCTAGCATTCCTAGCATTCGGGGTGTCTTTTTTTTTTTAAACCCTTTAAAAAATCCCTCCTAGCAGTGCCTTGCCCAGTGTAGTATGTGGGAGAGAGGACGGACAGTGGTGATGATGGGGGAAAGCTGAGCGTGCGTGCTCCTTAACAGGACAGCATAATGCCAGGTGCTGCAGCCGACGGAAACAAGCTCCTCTCATATATGTGATGATCAACCTAAAATCTTGGCCTTTCTTTTGTATCTCTCAGAGCCCCCAACCTTTTAAAAAAGAGTATTTTATTTTTTTATTTATAAACAAAAAAATTTATTTCTTACAGTTATGAGGCTGAGAATCCAAGGTCTACAGGCTACAACTGGTAACAGCCTATTTGCTGGTGGGGACTCCGCAGAGCCCTGAGGTGGCTCAGGGAGTCAGTCACATTTCGAGGGGTCTGAGAGTGCTCACTCAGGTCTCTCTTCCTCTTATAAAACCACCAGTCCAACTCCCATTTGAATTTATTGTTCTGTGAATGGATTATCCATTTGTGAGGGCAGAGCCCTCATGATTTAATCACCTCTTAAAGGCCCTACCTCTCAATACTGCCACATTGGGGATTAACTTTCAACTTGAGTTTTGGAGGGGACATTCCAACCATAGCATTCTGCCCTTGGCAAACTCGTGTCCTTCTCACAAACAAATTCAGTCCCCCCCAGACTCGTGTCCTTCTCACAAACGAATTCATTCCATCCCCATAACCCCAAAGTCTTATCTGTGAGTTTGTAAAAATCAAAACAAGTTATCTACTTCAAGATACAATTGTGGGACAAGCATAGGGGACGAATTCCCCATTCCAGAAGGGGGAAATAGGCAAGAAGAAAGGGGTAACAGGCCCCAAGCAAGTACGAACCCCAAGAGAGCACACACTGGATCTTCAGACTCCAGAATACTCTCCCTTGACTCCGTAGTCCGGCATCCGCAGCACACCCGTGTGGGGGTTGGGCCCCAAGGCCTGGTGCAGACTTGCCCCGATGGCTTCACTGGGCTCCGTCTACACAGCTCTCCCTGGCTAGTGTTGCTTGTCAGTGCTACAGTTCTGGGGGCTTCGTGGTGGTCTGGCTCCCATGGGACCATCAGGCATTGCTCTAGGTGGGGGTCTCCGCAGTGGCTCTGCCCCTGAGGCTAGTCTCTGCCTGGCCTCCCGGGCTTTAGATGACATCCTTTAAAATCTGGGTGGAGGCTGCCATGCTACCACAGCATTTACTTTCTGCAAGCCTGCATGCAGAATTAGCACCCTGGGGGGGGCATTAAGGTTTACAATTTGTACCTTCAGGAGCTGCCTCTTGAGGGGGAGGTGGAGCTCGGCAGCAGTGCCGGCCTGTCCTCAGAAACCATTGTGCCCCCAGGCCTCTGGGACTGTGAATGGAGAGGCAGCCTCTAAGATTTGTGAAATGCCTTTGGGGCCTTACTCCCATTGTCTTGACTATTAGCACCTGGCTCCCTTTTAGTCATGCTAATCTCTTTAGGAAGCCCCGCACCCTTCTATTCTCTTTCTCTACCACTTGGCCAGGCTGCCAGTTTTCCATATTTCCCTTTTCTATAGCAGTCCACAGTTATAAGTAACCAAGCAGCTGCCTGAGCACTTTGCTTTTAGAAATTTCTTCTGCCAGGTACCCTACTTCATTACTCTCGAGTTTAGACTTCTACAAAGCCCTTGGGCTCCATGGACTCAGTTCAGCCAAGTTCTTTGCCAATTTATAATAACGAAGGCCTTCAATCCAGTCCCCAATACCTTGTTCCTCAGTTCCATCTGAAACCTTGTCAGAATGGCCTTTACTGTCCATACTTCTACAGCACTCTGGCCTCAATCACATATCCAATCTCTAAGGAGTTCCAAACTTTCCCTAGTCTTATTTTCTAAACCCTCATCAGGATCTGCGCTTTTTCTAGCCTGCTCCTCCACATTCTTCCAGCTTCTGTCCATTACTCAGTTCCAAAGCCACTCCATATTTTCAAGTATTTGTTACCAGCAACACCCCACTTCTCAATACCAATTTTCTTTTTTTTCTCATAGATCTCACCAAGTCAGACTCAGTACCAATTTTCTTAGTCCATTTTCTGTTCCTTGTAACAGAATACCTGAAACCGCATAATATATTAAGAAAAGAAATCTAGTTCTTACACTTATGGAGGCTGAAAAATCCAAGGTCAAGAGGCTACATCTAGTAAGAGCCTTCTTGCTAGTGGGGATTCTACAGAGTTGCTAGGTGGTGCAGGGAATCCCATGGTGAGAGGTCTGAGCATCAAGTATTATTTTGATTTTTAGTATTATTTTAAGACTTTTTTTTTTTTTGAGACAGGGTCTCGTTCTGTTGCCGGGGCTAGAGTGCCATGGAGTCATCAGAGCTCACTGCAAACCTCAAACTCCTGGGCTCAAGTGATCCTCCTGCCTCAGCCTCTCAGGAAGCTGGGACTACAGGCACGCACTGCCACCGTCTGGCTAATTTTTGTATGAGAGTTTTTAACTATGAAGAATTAAAAACATACACACGCATAGAGAAAGTAGTGTAATGACTGTGTGGGCTGAACAAATAAGTGAATTATACAAAGCAGGTCCCCCTCCCCAATACCTGGGCTTTTTGTTGAACCCTCCCTTTCATAGAAGGTCTGCTGCAGGTGAGGCTTTTGATAGGAAATTGATACTGCTTTGGGTTTTGTCTCAGCTGAGATGTTTTGGCTTTACTTCATTACCTAGCTCCTCAGCCATCAGTGTGCCTTGGGTGCCCACTGTGTGCAGACCATATATACCAGGAACATTGGAAATAGAAATGAGTGTAGATGTCCTTTCCTAGTTATAAAGAGCTGAGCTTGGGGTGCAAAGCAGTCTTTGTGCCTAAGAGTTTTACTCTGGTTCAGCAACCCCCTGAGTTTCACTGTTCTGAAAGCAGTCACTTGGAGCAGAGGTGCTGGACACTGTATGAGGAGGGTAGGCTGTAATTGCTATCGGCATTTAGAGGAGAAATTAATCCATACTGGCAAAGTCAAAGAAGGCTATCCTCAAGGCATGTGGTGGTAACTTTGCCCTGTTTCTATTGACCTTGTGTATTTGAGCAGTTATGCCTATTCCTAGATGGAAAAAAACAGTTTATGAAAACTGTCAATCAGTTAAAATTAAAAAATCTGAAAAAGATACAGAGCTGATGGTCATTGAATATCCTGGGGAGGTCACCTACCAGATCTAAACTTACATGTTCGGGATTTCTTTAAGCTGTGGGACCTGTGCTATAGACGACTTAGACGACTTCCAGGTGGAAGGCCTAGCTGCTCAGAATTGGTTCTTTGTGGGGAGAGAGCTACCCCTAGTGGGCTGTGGGAAGCATGCTCTGAGGGCCAGTTTTCTTCACCTTGACTCAAAATGAGGAGTTTTATTTTGTTTTTGCCTATGATATGGGCCTAATAAAGATTTTAGCTTTTAAGACAACAGGATGGAGAGTGTATCTATTCCCCCAAATCCTTGAGGTGAGAAATTAATTCTCAGATTTTTTTTCTGTAACCAAATACATATGACTATCCCCTTTCTTCCATGTTCTGACAACTTGAATTTAATGCTGTAAGGATTGGATCTGAAATTAGGGCAGTAGTTAAAAACCTACACAAAATGGAGTGCTTTGGGGCCTAATTTGAGTGTAGGACATTGATGGGGTATTAATAAATATGGGGGTATAAATATAGGAGCTCATAGTAAACATGCTTCTTGGAGATCATGTCATATCATTTATTCTGAACTACCTGATTCATGAAGAAATGGACAAGAGTATTGTACTATGACCTGTAATTTACTTAGAGGGGATGAGCCCCCTGGTTTGTCTAGCATTATAACCACATTACCGACTTTTTCCTTCCCTGGTAGTAGCATAGTAGAAGAATAACTATTGAGAAATCATTCTACTGATCAACACTATGGTGCTCACAGGTCGGTAGTGTTCTCCAGGGATTAGGGGGGTGGGGGGGTTGACTCACAACTGAGGGATGCGGTGAGCATTGTAGAGGGGAAGGGCATGCCTCTAACCCTTGCTAGGGAGAGGCAAAGATATAAAATATGACCAAAATGTTTGTACTCTCTTAATTTCCTGAAATAATAATAAAAAAAGAAGTCATTCTAGCTTCTAACACTTAATGAGTACTGCCTAAGTACTTAATGAGGATGGATAAGTACTACCCTTGCCTTCTTTCATTTAACCCTCAGGTGAAAAACTTTGTGCAAGTTCACAAAGCTTAGAAGGAGGACTGTTTTTTGACTCCAGGCAATCTGACTTCAGAGCCTTCACAGGTAATCTCTTCTCCATATGGCTCAGCCTGACTTGTCTGCCTTTATCTCCAGTATTATGATGTCACTGTTTTTCAGGAATGGAGGTTCCTTTGCTGAGTCTATAGCCACAGACCCAAAGGAGAGCCATGTTTCTTTTGTTTCAACCTTTATAGAAACCTTTCTATACCAATTTTTTTTAATTAGTTACAATTTATTGAGCGCCTAGAATATTAATAGTTTAGCACCTTTGATACAGTGTATCTGGACCATGTGACAACAGTGTTAACATAAATGCCTGTGTCCGTGAATGTTTTTAAAAATCTTTTTGGGCTTATAGTTTTGTTTGTTTGGTTGGTTTTTTTTTTGGAGACAGAGTTCTGCGCTGTTGTTCAGGCTAGAGTGAGTGCCATGGCGTCAGCCTAGCTCACAGCAACCTCAAACTCCTGGGCTCGAGCAATCCTCCTGCCTCAGCTCCCAAAGTAGCTGGGACTACAGGCATGCGCCACCATGCCCGGCTAATTTTTTCTATATATATTAGTTGGCCAATTAATTTCTTTCTATTTATAGTAGAGATGGTGTCTCGCTCTTGCTCAGGCTGGTTTCAAACTCCTGACCTCGAGCAGTCCTCCCAGAGTGCTAGGATTACAGGCGTGAGACACCGCGCCCTGCCGACTTATAGTTTTAATTTAATTTTTTTTGGAGGATCTGATGACAGCTTTGGATCTTCTTTACAGAAAAATTCACTTGTGGACATATACATAATATCGTACACAGCTAGTAAAACTTATCCTCTGGCAGTCCATAGACTCCAGGACAAGATCTCTTGCCCTATACAAACTTTTGCAGCTGACTATTCTATTGCATTAAGGGGGACAGAGCAGGCGTCCTCAAACTACGGCCCTCGGGCCACATGTGGGTGTTTTTGCCCGTTTGTTTTTACTTCAAAATTAAGATATGTGCAGTGTGCATAGGAATTTTGTTCATAGTTTTTTTTTTAAACTATGGTCCAGCCTTCCAACGGTCTGAAGGACAGTGAACTGGCCCCCTGTTTAAAAAGTCTGAAGGCCAGGCGTGGGGGCTCACACCTGTAATCCTAGCACTCTGGGAGGCCGAGGCGGGCGGATTGCTCAACAATTTGAAACCAGCCTGAGCCAGAGCAAGACGCCGTCTCTACTATAAATAGAAAGAATTAATTGGCCAACTAATATATATAGAAAAAATTAGCCGGGCATGGTGGCGCATGCCTGTAGTCCCAGCTACTCGGGAGGCTGAGGCAGGAGGATCGCTTGAGCCCAGGAGTTTGAGGTTGCTATGAGCTAGGCTGACGCCATGACACTCACTCTAGCCTGAGCAACACAGCGAGACTCTGTCTCAAAAAAAAAAAAAAGTTTGAGGACCCCTGGGATAGAGAGTGGAGGGGTCCTCAGAGAGAAATATTTATGAAGCGTTAGATCCCTAAATTGACCAAATATGTCTGAACATTCTTTCTTTTTTTCTTATACATAGGACTACAAGGGAAGAATGCAGAAATCAAATGTGTGCTTGTAGGAGATGGGGCTGTAGGTAAAACTTGCCTCCTCATCAGTTATACAACAAATGCCTTTCCTGAGGAGTATATCCCCACTGTCTTTGACAATTATAGTGCCCAGACATCTGTGGATGGCCAAATCGTCAGCTTGAACCTGTGGGACACTGCTGGCCAAGAGGAGTATGACCGACTGCGAACACTCTCCTACCCCCAGACCAATATCTTTGTCATTTGTTTTTCCATTGGCAACCCATCCTCTTATGCCAACGTAAGGCATAAGTGGCACCCAGAGGTCTCCCATCATTGCCCCAATGTACCTGTTCTGCTGGTAGGCACCAAGAGGGACCTGCGGAGTGACCTCGAAACAGTGAAGAAGCTGAAGGAGCAGAGCCTAGTGCCCACAACTCCTCAACAGGGCACCGCCCTGGCTAAGCAGGTGGGGGCTGTGAAGTATTTGGAATGTTCGGCTCTGATGCGGGATGGGGTGCGTGAGGTATTTTCAGAAGCTGTCCGGGCTGTGCTTTACCCTGCCACAAAGAAGAACACCAAGAAGTGCATCCTCTTATAGCTTTTGGGTGCTACGTGGGGACTGCACCTAAGGAGTTTAAGGGTTTAAAGGAGGGGATTCCTTTGATAGCAGTTAAGAGTGCCAGTATGAGCCATTTTTTTCTTCTACTAGAAACTCTAGACTCCAGGATATTTGGCTTTTGGAAGAATGAAGACAGACTAATTAGTTGGTACATGGCTGCTTTGAAATTTGGTCTGACCCTTATGGAGGAAGAGTGTGTGTGTGTGTCTGTCTGTCCGTCCCTCCCCTGTCAAAGTGGTAAGAGGAGATGCCACTCAGTGCTGTCCTTTCTCTCCTGGCGAGGCCATAACTGACCAGAGTCATCTAGTACTGTTCTTTGTGGGCTTTTGCTTGTCTGCTTTTAAATCTAATTTTAGCTGTCCTTGCTGTATTTACCATTGATCAAGTGTCTCACAGGACAGGTTATTCTGTTTTCAAATTGTTGCCTTAAACTTTATGATAGACTATTTTTTTTTTTTTTGAGACGGGGTCTTACTCTGTTGCCCCGGCTAGAGTGCAGTGGCATCATCAGAGCTCACTGCAACCTCAAACTCCTGGACTCACGTGATCCTCCAGTCTCAGCCTCCCAGTAGCGGGGACTATGAGCACGCACCATCGGGCCTGGCTAATTTTTCTATTTTTTGTAGAGACAGGGTCTCATTCTTGCTCGGGTTGGTCTCAAACTCCTGGCCTCAAGCAATCCTCCCCCTTTGGCCTCCCAAAGTGCTAGGATTACATGATATACTAATTTTTGAAAACCGTTTTTTCTTTTTTATTTTTCACGTGTACTTCTACTAGAATTGAAAACCACTGTATGTGTGATTCCTGGGTATTCCTCATGTTGACATGTTCCTCCCATTCTTGAGATGAGACATTTTCACAAAAATGGTTAAGTTGCATTTTCCAAATTTCTGTGAGATGGTAATAGATGTTCCTTAAAAGGGTTCTGTCATAAAATAAGCTCAGGAACCAGCAATTTAAATAAAATTGAACAGGTTCTTTTACAGCAAGCCTTTTTTTTTTTTTTTTTTGAGACAGAGTCTCACTGTTGCCTGGGCTAGGGTGCTGTGGCGTTAGCCTAGCTCACAGCAACTTAAAACTCCTGGGCTCAAGCGATCCTCCTGCCTCAGCCTCCTAAGTAGCTGGGACTACAGGCATGCGCCATCATGCTCGGCTAATTTTTTCTATATATTTTTGGTTGTTTGGCTAATTTCTTTCTATCTTTAGTAGAGATGGGGTCTCACTCTTGTGAAGCTGGTCTTTTTTTTTTTTTTTTGACACAAGAGTCTCACTCTTGCCCAGGCTAGAGTGCCGTGGCGTCAGCCTAGCTCACAGCAACCTCAAACTCTTGGGCTCAGGCAATCCTCCTGCCTCAGCCTCCCGAGTAGCTGAGACTACAGGCATGTGCCACTATGCCCAGCTAATTTTTTTCTATATATTTTTAGTTGGCGAATTAATTTCTATTTTTTTTAGTAGAGACGGGGTCTCGCTCTTGCTCAGGCTGGTTTCAAACTCCTGACCTTGAGCGAGCCACCTGCCTCAGCCTCCCAGAGTGCTAGGATTACAGGTGTGAGCCACCGCGCCCATCCTACAGCAAAGCAAGACTTTATGAACAGTATGTATGCAACATTTCCCAAACTTATTACACCACTGAGCTTTTTTTTGGGGGGGGGGTCCCATGCAACACCTATTAATATCTCTGGTGACAGTTTCAGAGAAGCTGGAACTAGGAATTCCAAGGAGGAAGCTATAAAAATCCAAAAAGCCTAACGTGGTCTTGTTCTTTTATATGTTTCCTTCTTCATGCTCTTGAGACAAGCGTTTATCAGCATGGACTTGTTATTGGTTCCTCTGCTTCAGGGGATGGGTCTTGTATTTAGTCATGATAGTGCATTGGATATGGGATCTGATAATGAAATCTGCTCTCAGATTCTGATACCAGTTTGGGCCTCATAATGTGAAATTATCAATCCCCCATGAAAAACTGTGCCTGAGTCTTCATTTTCTTTTCTCTCTCCACCACCCTCTCTGAATCTGTTACTTTTTGTTTTAGGGATAGACTACTCAAGGATAACCACCCAAATAAAACAAAAATAAAATAAACAAATTGTCCTGCCAGTCATTGTCAGGGAGTTCTAAGCTTGCTTCTGGGACTTCTCTTCCACCTTCATTTCTGTGAGTCTATAAAGGCTGCCTTGCTGGCTTCCAATCCTTCCCTCAATACACCTCCCAGTATGTTTATTCAGCCCTGTGGGCCTTTTTTTTTTTTTTCTTTTTAAAAGACTGGGTCTCCCTCTGTTGTCCAGGCTAGAGTGTAGTAGCACAATCATAGCTCACTGTAGCAGTGAACTCTTGGGTTCCAAGTCATCCTCCTGCCTCAGCCTCCCAAGTAGTTATAACTACAGGTGTGTGCCACCATGCCAACCTAATTTTTAAATTTTTTTTAAGAGACTGGGTCTTGCTATATTGCCTGGGCTGGTCTTGAAATATTTTAGAAATAATTTTTTAGTGTATGTATTATGAACTATTTGGAACATAAACTAAAAAATTTATTGTTTACCTGAAAGTCAGATTTAATGGTGCATATTGTATTTTTATTTAATAAATCTGGCAACACTACTCTTGGAGAATCGAACCTGGTCAAGCAGCCACCAAGTATTGATAGAAGATAAAAGGTTATATAAACTCCTTATTCTTCTTCCTTCCAGTTTCCCTTATCATGGACTAAAGTGTTTTATTTTCCTTTTCTTTCATTACTGCATTCTCCACTTCACAGTTCTTCACTGATGTCTGTTTCTACACCACTGATTATCTAAAGCTGTGGAGGGTCCAGGTTGGATACTATTGTCCTGCTCATGCTATCTCAATTTCAACATACTGTATCTATTTTCTGGTGCAAGACCCAAAGCCCTGTGTGGGGGATGGCAGGGATTCTGTTTGAGCAGTGTGTTTACTGGAAGAGGAGGGTGTTGTGGCCCTCCTCAAAAAGGCCCAGTAGCACTTTGGAAAGTGGGGCTGCTATTACAGTAGTGTGGGAACTACAGGAGTCAACTGGCCTGTGGGCTTGTGGATGAGTTTTCCTACAGCCAGCCAAATGAAAGCTCCAGTGTATTCCAGTCTCAGGATGTTCTGATTGATGCTGCTTGGGATACTTACAGGACTTTATGGTTGAAAGGGGCTAAGCTAGAAACAAGGCTGTCGCTTGTGGGGCTGTCTCTGGGAACTTTCCATTTAGCTACTGGAATCTTTTTAAGTGGCTTTTAATTTAATAGTGCCTCCTGCTCCTCCTTTGCCTGGCAAATTCCTAAATGTAAGCCTAGGTTTTGTTTGGGCAAACTTGTTTCCTCTAATAAATGGAGACGTGATCCTCAAGTCTGGGAGAGTGGGAGTATTCTCTCACACTGACAAAAAAAATCAGTCCTTTTTGTATTGGACTGATTTGATGGAACTGATTATACACTGACTTTTTATATTTAAAAGGAATTTGTATGAAGACCAACTTGCTGATATTACTTTTAAATTATTCATAATGGATGGTAATAAACTTTTCTGATTTTACCGAGTCCATTGCTTTCTTAAAAAAACAAAGCAATTCTACCCCTTGTCCCCTTTAAGTGGTTTCTATGCGCTCAACTTACAAAAGATGAAACTAAAACTGTCATATTGCACACTGCACCTGTAACTGTCTGCCCTTCTAACATTGATTCTGTCGATTCTACCCCTGCCACTTCATCCCCAGGATTTAGCTTCATTTCTGGATTCTCACTAATGACAGGTCAGTTAGTTTCCTGTAGGCAATTTTTCTCATGTATTATATATTAAACTATTATTATAATACAGGGAGTCCCAAAAGTCTCCAAAGGAAAAATTTTTGTAGTAAATTATTTTATTTTTTCTATTCCCTTACTGGTGGCTGTTCTAGTGAATTATTTTATAAGTAAAAGTACATTTAGCTAAAATTTCCCATTTTCCCTACATACGGTAACTTTTGGGACACCCTGCATTAATAATAACATATAATATTATACATTCAGTAAATAATCATTAAGCTCCTACTATGTCACAAACATTACAGTATTGGCGCCGGGGTTGTAAAGATAAGGCACATCATTTATTGACTAATTCTGGATGGTAATTATGTGTAGTGCTGGTGTATTAGTAAGGAAGAGGAAAACCATATTTTCATTTAAAACAAAACAGCTTTATTGAGGTATAATTTACATACCATACAATCCACCCATTTCAAATGTACAATTTAATGATCTTTAGTAAATTTACTGAGGTGTCCAACCATCACCAAAATCCAGTTTTAGAACATTTCTATCAACCCAAAGACATGCCTCATGTAGTTAATCCCTCTAGCCCTAGACAACTATTAGTCTACTTTCACCTTTTATAGATTATTTTTTTCTGGATATTTCATATAAATGGAAGCATGTACTATGTGGTATTTTGTAACTCCATTCATTTAGCATGTTTTCAAGGTTCATCCATTTTGTAGCATGTATCCATACTTCGTTTCTTTGCTTCTTTAGAGATGGGGTCTCACCATGTTGCCCAGGCTAGAGTGCAGTGGCTGGCTATTCACAGGCACCAACATAAGGCACTTACAGCCTGCAACTCCTTAGGCTCAGGCAATCCTCCTGTTTCAGTCTCATGAGTAGCTGGGACTACAGGCATGTGCCATTGTACCCAGCTACTTCATTGCGTTGTTTTTTTTTTTTTTTGAAAGTCTCCTGTGTTCCCTGCTAGAGGCCCTGGCATCAGCCTAGCTCACAGCAACTCAACTCCTGGCTCAAGCAATCCTTCTGCCTCAGTCCTCCCGAGTAGCTGGGACTACAGCATTGTCACCGTGGCTGGCATTTTTCTATTATATTTTTGCTGGCCAATTAATTCTTTCGTTTTTAGTAGATACAGGGTCTCACTATTGCTCAGGCTGGTTTCAAACTGCTGACCTTGAGCGATCCTCCAGGCTCATGCCAAGCCCTTCATTGGTTTTTATCGCTGAATAATATTGCATTGTATGAATCTCTCATATTTTGCTTGTTCATCAGTTGACAGACATTTGGTTTGTTTCCACTTGACTATTATGAATAACACTGCTATGAACACGCAATAAGATTTTATGTGGGTTGGGTGCGGTGGCTCACGCCTGTAATCCTACACTCTGGGAGGCCAAGGCAGGCGGATTGCTCAAGGTCAGGAGTTCAAAACCAGCCTGAGCAAGAGCGAGACCCCGTCTCTACTAAAAAATAGAAAGAAATTAACCTAAGTGGACACATAGGTACTACAGTAATAGGGTATTGGGCAGGTGGGAGGGGGGCGGGTATATACATATATAATGAGCGAGATGTGCACCATCTGGGGGATGGTCATGCTGGAGACTCAGACTTGTGGGGGGATGGGGGAATGGGCATTTATTGAAACCTTAAAATATGTACCCCCATAATATGCCGAAATAAAAAAAAATTAATTGGCCAACTAATATATATAGAAAAATTAGCCGGGCATGGTGGTGCATGCCTGTAGTCCCAGCTCCTTGGGAGGCTGAGGCAGAAGGATTGCTTGAGCCCAGGAGTTGGAGATTGCTGTGAGCTAGGCTGACGCCACAAAACTCTAGCCCAGGCAAGAGAGTGAGACCCTGTCTCAAAAAACAAACAAACAAACAAAAAAAAGATTTTATGTGGACATATGTTTTTAATTCTCTTGGGTAGAAAACTAGGAGACATGATAAATTTGTATAAAATCATGCTTTGAGTCAAGAATGGTGTCTTTAATATTATCTGAAATCTCCTTCCACAACTTACAAGCTTCCATCTACCTTTCAGGAGGCAATATAGTGTAGTAAATAACTGTTAAAAGGTAGATTAAAAAACATATTCCAGGCCGGGCGTGGTGGCTCACGCCTGTAATCCTAGCACTCTAGGAGGCCGAGGTGGTCGGATTGCTCGAGGTCAGGAGTTCAAAACCAGCCTGAGCAAGAGGGAGACCCCATCTCTACTATAAATATAAAGAAATTAATTGGCCAACTAATATATATATATAAAAAAAAAAAATTAGCCGGGCATGGTGGTGCATGCCTGTAGTCCCAGCTACTTGGGAGGCTGAGGCAGCAGGATTGCTTGAGCCCAGGAGATTGAGGTTGCTGTGAGCTAGGCTGACGCCATGGCACTCACTCTAGCCAGGGCAACAAAGCGAGACTCTGTCTCCAAAAAAAAACAAACAAAAAAACCCAACATATTCCAGATCCAGCAATCCCATTACTGGGCATCTAGCCAAAAGAACAAAAGTCACTCTATGAAAAAGACACCTGCACTCGAATGTTTATAGCAGCACAATTCACAATTGCAAAGATGTGAAAACAACCAAAGTGGCCATCAATACATGAGTGGATTAATAAAATGTGGTATATGTATACAATGGAGTACTACTATTCAGCTATAAGAAACAATGGTGATATAGCACCTCTTGTATATTCCTGGCTAGAGCTGGAACCCATTCTATTAAGTAAAGTATCCCAAGAATGGAAAAATAAGCACCACATACTCACCAGCAAATTGGTATTAACTGATCAACACCTAAGTGGACATATAGGAATAACATTTATCGGGTGTCAGGCAGGTGGGGGGGAGGGGATGGGTATATACATACATAATGAATGCCATGTGCACCAACTGTGGGATGGACATGCTTAAAGCTCTGACTCAAGGGGGGGGCAAGGGCAATATATGTAACCTTAACATTTGTACCTCTACGATATGCTGTAATAAATAAATAAAAACATATTCCATTTTGCTGCTCTTTTGTATTAAATATTAGTATAGCAATAGTATTCTACTGACTTCATTACCAGAGTGCAGCATTTCAGTTATCACACAGGTCTGGGCACACTTTTGTTGTTTGGCATAGAAATATAATTACTGGTAAAACATTTCATGGGACATCCAAGCAATGTCCTATAAGAGAATAAGAAAGAGTGCTATGAAGTGGTACAGAATGATTTCCAGTCTATATTATTAAGAGAAAAAAGCAAGGTGGAAAGTGCAAACATAGTATGCTACCTTTTTATGTAAGGAAAAAGAGGAAATTAGAATATATACACACACTTACTTTTGCAAAAAGAAACACAGGAAATTAATGGAAATGGCTACTTATAGAAAGTGGGTGGGAATAGGGTTGAAGACATTAGCATGGGAGTAAGATTTCTTTGGGAATAGCTCTTTGTATAGTTTGCAACCTCAAACTCCTAGGCTCAAGTGATACTCCTGCCTCAGTCTCCCAAGTAGCTAGGATTGTAGGCATGTGCCACCATGCCTGGCTAATTTTTTTAATTTTTTGTAGAGATGGAGTCTTGACATGTTGCCCAGGCTGAGTTTTGACTTGGAACCACGTAAATGGTTTACATAGTTTAAAAAGTCATATAAAAAAGATAATAAAAGCAAATCCTTAAGTTGAATACAAGCAGAAAAAAATGTTTCTAGAAGTATATAAAACTAATAACTCCATAGAAGAAAAAAGGGTTCAAGTAATTTTTATTTTTTTTTTGAGACAGTGTCTCGCTCTGTTGCCCAGGCTAGAGCGCTGTTGCATCAGCCTAGCTCACAGCAACCTCAAACTCCAGGGCTCAAGCGATCCTACTGCTTCAGCCTCTCAAGTACCTGGGACTTACAGGCATGCACCACCATGCCCAGCTAATTTTTTAAATTTTTTGTAGAGATGGGGTCTTGACATGTTGCCCAGGATGAGTTTTGACTTTGAACCACATAAAAGGTTTACATGTTTTTAAGTTTCTAGAAGTATATAAAACTAATAACTCCACAGAGGAAAAAAGGGTTCAAGTAATCTTTATTTTTTTGAGACAGTGTCTCGCTCTGTTCTGTTGTGTCTGCCTAGCTCACAGCAATCTCAAACTCCTGGGCTCCAGCAATCCTCCTGTCTCAGCCTCTCAAGTAGCTGGGACTACAGGCACACACCACCACGTCTGGCTAAGTTTCTCTATAGTAGAGACCAGGTCTTGCTCTTGTTCAAGCAGGTCTCCAACTCCTGATCACAAACAATCCTCCTGCCTTAGTCTCTTAGAGTGCTAGGATTACAGAGATGAGCCACCACGCCCAGCAAATAATTTTTTTTAAGGAGACAGGATCTTACTCTGTTGCCCAGGCTGGACTGCACTGGCACAATCATAGCTCACTGCAGCCTCAAACTCCTGGGCTCAAACAATCGTCCTGCCTCAGCCTCCCCAGGCACTGGGACTACAGGCATGCACTACCATGGCCATGCAGTTTTTTTGGGGGTAGAGACAGGGTCTTGCTGTGTTGACCAGATTGCTCTCGAACTCCTGGCCACAGCAAACCTCCTGCCTCGGCCTTGCAAAGTTTTGAAATTACAGGTGTCAGCCACTATGCCTGGCCTCTTTGCAGTTTTTGTTCTTAGAATACTATATACCCCACTAAGGCTATATAAGTATTGTGTTCGAAAATTATTTGAAGGCTGAGCACAGTGGCTCACACTTAGGATCTCAGAACTTTGGGATGCTGAGGTGGGGAGGATCACTTGAGGCCAGGAATTTGAGCAACACAGCAAAACCCCATCTCTTAAAAAAAAAAAAACCCAAAAAAACTGCAAAGAAATCCTGACGTTTACTTAGGTTTATTTATTTATTTATTTGAGACAGAGTCTAACTCTGTTGCCCGGGCTAGGGTGCTGTGGCATCAGCCTAGCTCACTGCAACCTCAAACTCCTGGGCTCAAGTGATCCTGCTGCCTCAGCCTCCCGAGTACCTGGGACTACAGGCATGTGCCACCATGCCCGGCTAATTTTTTCTATATATTTTTTAGTTGGCCAATTAATTTCTATTTTTTAGTAGAGATGGGGTCCCACTCTTGCTCAGGCTGGTTTCGAACTCCTGACCTTGAGCGATCCACCCGCCTCAAGCCACCGCGCCGGGCCTGGTTTATTCTTGGTAGTAGTATTGTTCATGTAATTCTGAAATAATATATTGATGTTGGGAACCAGTGCTTTCTTCCCTCTGTCCCGGAATGCAACCAGTGTTTTCACTGTAAGAGAAGAAAGACACAAATATAAAATGGAGGAAGGTGAGGAAGAACCCTATGGGGTTAGATTTAAATTGGAAGTTTATTAGCCACTCTGGCTAATAAATGTAGAAAGAATTTAATTAGAAAAATCACCCTTTTGCTCTCTCCCAATATAATTGATTCAGGCAAGGATCATCAATGGGTGCTAAACTGGTTTAGGGGTGGGGACCCTGCACAGCGCAGAGGCTCACGCCTGTAATCCTAGCACTCCGGGAGGCCCAGGTGGGAAGATCGCTTGAGGTCAGGAGTTCAAACCAACCCAAGCAAGAGCGAGACTCGTCTCTACTTAAAATAGAAAAATATATCCCGCCGTGGTGGTGCCCACCCAGCTACACAGGAGGCTGAAGCAGGAGGATCGCCTGACTCCAGGAGTTGGCGGTAGCTGTGAGCTAGGCTGACGCCACTGGGCGGCAGAATGAGACCCTGTCTTAAAAAAAGAAAAAAAAAAAAAAAACCCACCAGACAAATTCAGAACATGTAATGCTTTCAAGACAACTTGCCTGGATTCTTCCAAATATTTAGTGTCATGAAAAACAAACAAAAAGGCCGGTAGATCCTGGACTAAAGGGAGATTACCAAATACAATGCACAAACCTTGAATGGATTCTAGGTTGAAAAAATGTAGAATACTCCAACTAGGACAACTGGGGAAATTTCAATACGGACTGTGTGTTAAATTATATTGCCTTAATTTTTAAAGATGTGATAATAGTAGCGTAATTACGAGGTACGATGTTTGTTTTTAGGAGTGAAGAAACAGTATGTTTGCAACTCACTTTCAAATGGTTTAGGGGAAAACGAAAAAACCCTGGCAAAAGTTAACTGAATTTAAGTGAAGGGTCGGCTGTTCATTTTACTAATCCTTCACGTTTCCTGAAATAAAACGTTCAGGGGGAAGAGCCCATTCCCATGGGGGAAACGCCAATTCAAAACAAGTAACTTGCAAAGGTACCTTTGGCATGGTTGGGGACTGTCCATACAATTTACGGCAAATTTCCCTTTGGGACGGAGCGGTGAAGCTGTAGCCAGCAGACAGAAGAACCGGTTCTTACTCTTACTTTCCCAGCTTTGTGGCGTCGTGACCTGAGGTCGCCAGAATGTCAGCCACGTGACCCAGGCGGCTCTTTCTGATTGGAGGAAGATCCGTTGTTCTGTGCAGTGAGAATGACCCTGCGCAAATTAGCAGAAGGGGGCGGGACTGAACATTTCTTTTGACCAACCGCTTTCCTCATATCCAGCCTCCTGACTGCGTGTGGTCGAATCAAAAGCCGTTAGTAAAGTAGTAACACTTATTCTCCTTTCTCGTAGGATGGCCGGTCTTTCCGGTTACTTTTTTTTTTCTATATTTCTCTTCCGGTGGCGGCAGGGAGGGCCAAGGAGCTCTGTAAGTCATTTCTGGGCGACTGCTGTTTTTATTTCCGGTCTATGGGACCAGGCTTGGATTTGCTGCTGCTCGCAGCAGCCGCCGGCACTGCTGCCGCCATCATGTCAGACACGGACAGCGACGAAGATTCAGCTGGAGGCGGGCCGTTTTCTTTAGCCGGTTTTCTTTTCGGCAACATCAATGGAGCCGGGCAGCTGGAGGGGGAGAACGTCTTGGATGATGTGAGGGGGTGGGCGTGGGGATAGGGCTGGGGGTGGTACGGCTAAGGAGAGTAAGTGCAGTGAGGAAAGCAAAAGGTGCTTAGGAAGAGAGTAGAGGACGGTGTGGCCCTCTCCGAGGGGGCGCAGTTAACGTAATAGGATCCCGTCCTCGTAGCTGTGGGAGTAATGCGGAGTGACAGAGCTCAGTGCTGGGCGATGGTGAGGAGAAGAGAGGAGGACCGTAGGCGAGCCCCAGGAGTCGGGCGCGGAGTGGGTGGCTTTGGAGACATTGTTCTGCCGGACTAGACAGTAGGAAAAAGAATCGTGTACCCAAGTGAAATTGCTTCCAAACCATTACTCTGTGAACCTTCTTGGAGATTCTTGACACTGTCTGCATTTCTGACATCGGTGAGCGGAGATGGCTCTAGAGCCAGAGGACTGGACAGAACGTGCAACAAAGCGTTTGGTTTGGGCCCCGAGCCTTAGGACAGTACTGTTCAGACGGCTCGGGGCAGACCACTTCTGGTCCCAGTGTGTTCACTGACATTCTTGGAATTTATTCTTGTGCCCAACTGAAAGTCACCTACTTTCATTTAGCTTCATTTTCTCAAAGAATAAAGCTGTTGACCAATATTCCCCCTCCCCTGTGACACGAACACATAAAAGATAGCCCCCAAAGCCCTGCCTTGCCTTGCTCATCCAAATGACCTCAGTTGCCTTGGCAGAGAACTATTCATAGTTCAGAGACCTATTCCATTCATTTAGCCTTCGTGGTGGTTCTTTAGATAATCTTTTCTTAAACTGTGGAGGTGAAATTAGACATAGTACTTTAATAAAGATCTGATCAGTGTGGAGTTTAGTGGAAGATTTATGGTTCTTGAATGTGACACTCCTATTTAGTACACTGCATTCATTTTTCATAGGGATTTATGACTTTGTGGACCAGGGAGATAAGCCTTGTGGTGTGGGAAGCTTAGGTCTAGTTGTTATCTCCGACTCTGGTGCTGTCCCTTTTTCAGGAGTGTAAGAAGCACTTGGCAGGCTTGGGGGCTTTGGGTCTGGGCAGCCTGATCACTGAACTCACGGCAAATGAAGAATTGACTGGGACTGACGGTGCCTTGGTAAATGATGAAGGTGAAGTCCGGGTCATGGGGAGTAAGGTGGGGGAGGAGGCTACACTTACTGTACATGTACTTTTAAATGGGAATTATCTGAGGGACTGAGAGTCATTTGCTTCTTGTTGAGATTCCCGCCCCTTTTTAAATTTATAGGATGGATCAGGAGTACAGAAGATGCTGTGGACTATTCAGACATCAACGAGGTAGCAGAAGATGAAAGCCGAAGATACCAGCAGACAATGGGGAGCTTGCAGCCCCTTTGCCACTCAGGTAATTTTTTGGTGTCATGGATAGAGCGTTCCAGTACTTTTTTCCAGTTCATTCTTTTTTTAAAATTTCAGAACATTAGGGGGGTACAAACGTTTTGGTTACATAATTGGTTTTGTATAGTTTGAGTTAAAGAAGTGTGCCCATCACCCAGATAGTGTGCATTGTACCCATTAGGTGTGAATTTACCCATCCTCTCTTCCCCCCTCCTGCCTGCTTGATTTCTGTTGAGTTTTACTTCTATATGTGCAGGCACATAAGTGTTGATCGATTACTTCCAATTTAGTACTGAGTACATGTGGTGTTTGTTTTTCCATTCTTGGGATACTTCACTTAGACGAATGATCTCCAATTCCATCCAGATTGTTACAAAAGGTATTAGATCACCATTTTTTTTATGGCCAAGTAGTACTCCATGGTATACATGTACCACATTTTATTAATCTATTCATGTATTGATGGGGACTTAGGTTGTTTCCATATCTTTGCAATTGTGAATTGTGCCACTATAAACATTTTGAGTGCCAGTGTGTTTTTTTTATAAAATATTTTTTTTTCCCTCTGGGTAAGTACCCAGTAGTGGGATTGCTGGGTCAAATGGTAGGTCTACTTTGAGTTCTTTAAGGTATCTCCATACTACTTTGCATAGAGGTTGTACTAGCTTGCAGTCCCACCAACAGTGTATAAGTGATCCTTTCTCTCCGCATCCACGCCAGCATCTGGGTCATTCTCACTGGAATTCGGTGGTATCTCATTGTCCAGTACATTTTCTTGCTGTTTGGGCTGTGGTTTCTATGCCTGCTTTCCGCCATTGTTCCTGCTCTCTATGCCTTTGCTTCTCTCCCTTTGCCAGCTCCGCTCCAAGTAGCTGCTGTTCTTTTTGTTGTTGTTGTCGTGGGGTAATCTTACCATACTCAATGTGTTGATCCTTCTACTGGTCCTGAATTCTTGGTTAATGACAAATAGGGAAGATAATGCTTTGCTCCTTGTCACCTAGTATTTGAGTATCCACAGCATTCACAGTATTGTTTTAGATGCTCTTCAAAGTTAGAGACTATGAAACAAACTCAGTCTTCATGGGTAAGTAATTGATAGTTTGAGGAAGATTAAGTATACAATGTAATATGTAAATGAATACATGTATTTGTCGGCTCCTATTACTCTCCTCTGTTGACACAATGTACTTAATGCTTTCTCCAATGTAAGGATTTTTCTCCCAGGTATAAGGTGCTACATTATAGAGTCTGAATGTCAGGTGCTACATTATAAAATCAGAATGTAAGTTGCTACATTATAGAATCAGAATATCAGCTGCTACATTATAGAATCAGAATATCAGTTGTTACATTATACATTCAGAATGCCAGCTGCTACTTTGTAGAATCAGAATGTCAGCGGGAAGGGGTCTTCGCAGTTATTTATTTTTAACCTCCTAATAGATAAGGAAAATAAACTTCAGGGAACTTTATCAAAAGTTTTACAATTAGCTCATTGCAGACGCTGACTAATTTAAGAACTCAGTTCATTAGACTGAGATTGAGCACCTCTATTATGTACTATAAACTGAAATAAACAGTATGATCCAAAGATAATAAAGTCCATTTTCTAATCTTCAGCAGCTTGGTTAAGTGATCATCATTCTTTGTACTGCCCTGTCCTATCCGTCATGTTTATTCATTGTCCATCTCTTTGAATTAGATTTCAGGCTGCTGAGAAATGTAGATAAAACCTTGGTAAATACTTGAACTGAGTTTTTTTCAGGGCCAGTTAATGTATTTGAGTGCTTCTTATATAAAGAGAATTAACTGTATCGTATACACAAGAAGTAACCTACAAAAAAATAGAAGATAGAGGACCTACCTTTAGAGATATTGTCAACATGAGGAAGATGAAATAAACAAGTGCAAAACAATTATTCATAGTAAGAAGACAAACCAACTACAAGCTTATGTTTCTGTAATGAGGAAAACAAACTTTAGAGAACTTTAATAAAGTGAGTAAATGAGTGTTATATTTAGTTTTGATGGACTGCCAGAATAACTAAGTCAAATAGCACTCTGTTGCCCTGGCTAGAGTGCCCTGGCATCAGCCTAGCTCACAGCAACCTCAAACTCCTGGCTCAAGCAATCCATCTGCCTGAGCTTCCCGAGTAACTGGCACTACAGGTATGTGCCACCATGCCCGGCTATTTTTTTTCCATTTTTGGTAGAGACGGGTCTCGCTGTTGCTCAGGCTGGTCTCGAACTGCCCGCCCAGCCTCCCAGAGTGTTAGGATTACAGGCATGAGCCACCACACCCAGCCAACATAGCTATTATTATTATTTTTGAGCACCCCAATTAAGGGGGAGGTGGTGGCAGCTCTGATTTTCAGTGGAAGTTATAATTTTCAGGTTTGAGTTTGTCATGACTAGAGATATTAAGGAAGAGAACATTTTTTTGTGGGGGTTTCCTAGGTGGGTTTTATGAGCTAACTTCCTAGAAAAGGAGGATGCTGCATTGGATAGAATCACAGCACTCTAGGATGCTCATTTCCAAGTTCTCTTGTCCTCTAGAAAGCTAAGGGCATAGGTTGAGATATTTAGAAGTAAGTGAGTGTAGTGTGTGTGTGGTGTTGGGGGGGGGCAGGGTAGGCAGTGATCTGCCAGCAGGTTTTCTTGAAAGAAGTGGAAAACATACTGCCAAATAGCAAGAACCAAGGATAGAGCGATTTCACAGTATCTTTATGTATGCATTACTTGGGATTTGATGCCATAAAGAGTTGTAAACAAACAGATTGTTCAGTAAGAGACAGGGTGGTAAAATGAAAAGAATGGATTTTGGAGTCAAAATGTCCCAGGTTCAAAATGTCATAGGTTCATGCCAGGCGTGGTGGCTCATGCCTGTAATCCTAGCACTCTGGGAGGCCGAGGCAGCTGTATGGCTCAAGGTCAGGAGTTTGAAACCAGCTTGAGTAAGATTGAGACCCCATCTCTACTAAAAATAGAAAGAAATTAATTGACCAACTAAAAATATATAGAAAAAAATAGCTGGGAATGGTGGCGCATGCCTGTAGTCCCAGCTCCTCGGGAGGCTGAGGTAGCAGGATCGCTTGAGCCCAGGAGTTTGAGGTTGCTGTGAGTTAGGCTGACACCATGGCACTCTAGCCTGGGCAGCAAAGTGAGA